GACATAGGTAGATTTGATATATTCTATTATTTTGTTTAACTAAGTCCTAATTTGATGGTTTCTTGCTTGTAATTAACTAATATAAAATACATGTTATAACAAATTTTGCATCACTTATTTTTGCAAAAAAAAAAAAAAACGAAAAACATTATTGATTATCAAAATTTAATAAGTTTAAATAATGATTAACCAATGACAGCAAGTAATTTTATTTTTATTAGCTAGATGACATATGTACATAATATGTAATTTTCATTTCTAATTCTGACTGTTCATACCATTTTGATCCAGCTTTCCGGACAATTATCCGATCCCAACCTGGTACGCATTTTTCAGGTGCAATCAATTTTACATATGATGTAATAACATTTTGATCTGGATTCAAAAATAATTAGCCAAATATTTATCCGAAAAAATTTGTTACTAATACAGTAAAACCTCTACAAGTATACATGATTCCTTTTTACCTGCCAATAAGGGAGCATCTATAATTTACGTTAAACCAGTATAAAGATAGGAGCCTTAAAGGTAATAATGACATATGGTATTATTTTTGTATTATCTTTAAGATCCCTATAACAATACTTAAATTATTGATGCCCCCTAATCATTCCCTATGTACTGTATATTGTACTCCATTCTTGGTATGATTTATAAGCCGATAAATTAATTTATTAATAACAATATATAATTAATTCTCTTTTAACAAGCTTAATTAACTTGTTATAATATTTTCTTCACATCACTTTTAATAATTGAGTTAATTATATTAACAAAATTTATCATAAACAATCATATATAATGCAGAGCCTCTATTTAGATCTATAAACACTACTAACCCATCCTTTTTCATTCTTGGTTATGCTTACGCCTTTGAATTATCACCTTTTCGGATTATGATCACTACTTGAGTGCTTTTTCTTCATCTTTGACAGTACCTATATAATTTCGACAGCAAAATCTAAGACTGTATTGTCTATTTGCAATACGAAAAAAAAAGAAATCTAGAAAGCTAAAAAAAAAAACTAGAAAGCTAAAAAAATAAAAAATAAAAACCAGCCAATAAGGCCATTTGAAGTTAATTTTTTGGTTAACATCATCTCTTCCCTTTGATGCCCCGGTAAAATGAACATATAAAAAAAGTAAAATTAAAAAATACCAAATAACGTGATGGGGTGTGGTTTCGAATCTCAGCCTAAATTAAGCTTAATTCAGGCCGAAATTCAAAATAACTCCCTATACGCTATTTCGCAGTATATAAAATAAAATAATAATTTAAAATAAAATAAATAATTTAAAAAATAATAAATAATAAAAAACAAAGCTAAAAATTTTGTTTTTACTTGGCTATCCTCCCATATTTGTTTATTTCAGTTTGTGATGAAACGATTCAAGAAAAACTGCTGAAAAAAGAGCATCCGAAAAGTTTTTTTATTCGATTGTGAAGAGCTAGAGAACTAGTATTAATGAGTAGGAAGAAATATTTAAATAAACATTTAGCTTTTACGGAAATAAAACCAATTATTTGAATTGATACTTTTTTCCATTTTTTAAGCCATCCGATCAGTGATTTATTTCATTCAATGAGGGGCAAAATTTGTATTCGACCAACAGGAACTTGGGGGAATTAGTAAACCCAAAATTTTGATCTGTGATTGCTGCATACTTTAAAAAATGATGCAGATCTGATCACTAGATCACGAGAGTTTTGGCTATAAAAATTATACGAAATTCTTTTTCTCAGATGAATGCATTATATAATTAATTAATTAATTATTTATTTATTTATTTTTGCTCCTCTCTTTATAATAGGAATGTAATCTTAACTTCTTAATCAAATTTATTTGACCTAATTTTAACTTGAAGTCAATTTGTTATAATAGATTTACTATATCAAAAATAGTTTGTTCATTTTATATGTTTGTTTCATTTGCCCCCTCCCCCTCTCTTCCGAAAGTCCTGGAAAGTGATGTTAACCGAAAAATTAACTTCAAACAACCTAATATCCAAAATAGCTAAAAAAAAACCAGCCAATAATGTCCAAACAGCTATAAAAAAAAAACATAAATGGTTTTAGAAATTATAAATAAAAAGCATAAAAGTAATGATAAAAAACTACCAAAGAATCTTTTACCATAATTTTCAACCGCCCATATACAAGGTGACTTCTTTATCATCCTAAAGAATAGGGGAAACCCACGCCTAAAGGAGTCAAAGTACTCTTTGAATTCAAATTTTTACCTGTCGAAGGTCAAGGCGTAAAAAAATCGACCGTCTGATAAAAAGACAGCAAAAAGGTCTTGTGAGGGTTGTTCTTTAATGAGAACCCATTAAACCACGTTTGCATCTCTTCCTCTAACCACTTCTCATTTGGTTTTTGGGTTCCTTCAAAATAATGATCTATAAAATAATGTCCAAAACAGCTAAAAAAAATAATAAAAATAAAATAAATAAATAGCTATAGAAATAATAAATAAAAGGCATAAAAGTAATGATAAAAGACTACCAAAGAATCCTTTACCTTAATTTTCAACCACCAGTGTATAAGGTGACTTCTTCTTGATCATCCCAAAGAATAAGGGAAATCCTCATCTAAATGAGTCAAAGTACTCTTTTGAACTCAAATTTTTTTCTGTCGAAGGTCAAGGTGTAAAAAAACTTCCATTTCGTGCTTGATTCCCTCATCAACCCATTAAACCACGTCTGCATCATTTCCTTGGACCAATTCTCATTTGGTTTTTGGGCTTCCAAATAATGTTCTACAGCTTTGGGGACTTTCGATGGTTTAATAGATAACTTGACTGAAATCAACACTTTTATATGCTTCAGACCGAGTTATTGAGTCTACAAAATATAGAGAATGAATGGTAAAAATTATGATAAAGAAAATATCCAACTCTATAATTTAAAGCTAAATTAATCTTATGTGGTAACTCCCACCTTTCCGCATTGTCAGACTGTCTGGCACTATATTCCCGTATTTTCTCTTTTTATTTTTTTTATTCTTTGAGGTGCTAGACACTTCATCTAGCATATTTGACCTGTCCCATACTCCACAGATCTTATTTAAGTTTCTAATGTCAGTCTATGTAAAAAAAAAAAAAAAAAAGGATATTAATAAATAAATAAATATTCATGTGAAATTTCTCAAATAACAAATTTAGGTAAAAATAGCTATGTGCGAAGGTATTTTTTTGTTGTGCATAAAGGAAGACACATTGGTCGTAGGCTCTAAATATGTCTAACAGAAATGAACTACCTTTTTTTTTTTGTGCCCAAAAGTTTTTTGCCTTATTAAAACCTTTCGTATCTTCGGACTGTCAGGGACGGTTTCAAAACAATACACGAGTCAGGTCTTGCAAGGAACATGTTTTAACAAATTTTTTAGCTGGGTTTTTTGGTATTTTATATACCGGATTGTGTAAGAAAAAGTAGGTAGAGCAGAGGCAAGAACTTGAAAAAGTGAAACAATGATAAGACACGAAAAGAGTGGAGCAAAAGCATCATTAATAAATTGGCCATCCGTTACACAGTCATACGTTGACCTACAAGCAGTCAGCCAATAATAAATAATGAGTTAGTGTAACATATCACGATTAGGAAAATATTCACTAATTTGAAGTAAACAAAGAAAAAAATACGAACGCGTCATTATGATGTATGCAATTTGATTAGAAATTGAGGAGGTTTATTACATAAAACGCGTTATAACTGTTTTCGATTTAGTTGAATCGACGATCTGCATAATTTTTTCCCCGCGAGTCCTGTGATTAGTAAGGGGAATCACTTCAACTTTGTCATATTTCGCAGGGCTCATTATAGAATTCAATAATTTCCACAAAATACGACAAATATAAAGTGCCTCTCTATGTTATTCACGGACTCACGGGTCAAAAAAAAAAAAAATTATGCAGATAGTCGATCTAACTAAATCAAAAACGCTGTAATATACCGATACGTTTTGTTATAAATTGTAAAGGCCAAGTATCGATTTTTACTTGAGATTTGGCGGTTTTGTCTTGAATTCTTTCGGTATACATGAATTCGGACCTTTCATTGGCTAATTTTCATACAATAAATAATTGTAATGTACAAATTTTTTTTTGTGTATTAATTTAGTTACGTCCAAATTTTTGCAATAATAAAAATTAGAAAACAAACCAAAATTACGATGACGTTGAAAAAAACAAGGTACCGTAATAAGCTCATAAGCATTATTTAGTATAATGGCCCGAATTAAGCTTAATTTGGGCCTAGATTTGAAATTACACTCCTGCGCGTTATTTCGCGAAAATACGGTAGACATAATAAAAAGTTTATATAAAGAATAATTATTTATCGCTTACTTTAATCATTTTTATTGTTGAATTTTATATTTAAAGATTTGGCAAAGAAAATTGAAATAATATTCACATATGTAATAAAAATGGTGTTTCTAATTACATTAATGACTATACATTCAATATAGAAACTGTTAAATTAATTCGATCAAAATATTTGAATACTGGATATTACCTTTGATTATACATGGGTGTCAAATTATTTTGCTTTTGGCATAATTTAAATGGCTAAATTATTTAGATAGCTTAAATCATAACCAATTTAGAATGACAAAACAATTCAGGTACAAAGTTATTTTAGTGCGTCGAATATATTTTAGGATGCTCTAAAATATTTTAGGAATCATAAAATATTTTCACCATTCCAAAATGCTTTTACAACAAAAATTAAATATTTTAAAATATTTTATTATTATAAATTACCGGAACTAATCTTTAGATTAGATTAAACAATTTCTAAAAATTGATTATATTAAAGTTAGCAAAATTTTTACAACTATTGTAAAAAATCTATTATACTAAAAGATGATTTTATTTGTATACGCTCCGCATCATTTTCAACCTGCCGCTTTGATGTTAATCGTGAAATAACACAAATTGTGAAGAGTCCCAGGGTCCTGACCTTGTAAATTTTTTTTAATTATTATTGCGTATTATTATTATTCGTCTTCTCTTTTATTTCCCTATATAGTAAAAACTCAGTGTAGTTGATAGCGATACTACGTACGTACGTATATAGTTCAAACAACAGATCCAAAAATAGAATAAAACATCATTACCTTAGCGTTAGGTAGTTTTTAAATTGATTACCAACAAATTTGTAAATTAAAAATCACATGATGTATATAAATTACTATCTGACTTTAGACGACCCCTTATTTGTAAAGTTCGCGAAAGATTTCGTGAACTTATCGTACTTATTGAACCAAACTTTCATACTTTCTGAAATGAACTTCCTGCACTTTTTGAACTGAACTTCCTGTACTTTGTGAACTTACTGTACGTTGTTTAGCAAATTTAGTGAGAAAGTTCAATAAGTGTCGCAGTAATGTAAAAGTTATAAATACTCAACCTTTTTTACTCCAATAAAAATAACTCAGTTGAGTTTAACCTTCGAAATTCGAGTAGAAGGTGTTAGCTCTAGTAGTTTTCCGTTATACATCAGTTACTGCGTAAAAGTCCCTTGTTCCAGTGATATTGCCTTACAGTATTCGAATTTTTGGGTCTTAGTAAAGAGTAACAAAGAGAAAGTATTAATTAGTAATCTAACCCTTTTATATTACATCGCAATTGTTTAAACTTTGCTCAACGTCATTGTTAACTCAAATTAAATATATACCGATACTGTGATTCTATTTTGACATGTGACCACGCAACAATCGTTAAGAATCTTAACGATTGAAATCAAATGTTGAACCCCGCTGCACTTAGACTTAAGAAGAAGAATCACCTTTAGTATCAAATAAAGTATGCAATGTAACCAGTATAAGTAGAATCCAAAAGACATACTTATCTCAGTCTTCAGTGACGTCGCAGCAAGACATTGAAACTCGGACCAAGTATTGAACCTAGGTGCCGCACAAAAAATGCGCGGCAGATCCTCGATTTTGATTGGCTAACGGCCGAGGATCTTCAAAATTTTGGCTCGCATTACATAATTGTTTACTAATTTCCGGCTGGAATTAACTTTTTGATTTTTTCATTACAAAAATAGATTTTTTTTAAATAAAATAAGCACGCATTATGGTAAAATTGGCCTAGGAACAATTTTCACTTAATGGGTGGTTGCGATTTCATTAGTAAAATTATGAGTAATTCCGGCCTAATTTTTTGATCGTCGCTCAGCCAATCAAAATCGAGGATATGCCGCGCAATTTTTTGTGCGGCACCTAGGTTTAGGATATCAGCGCCACAAACTTGGTATTATCCGGTGCCGTGATTTAATGTATCCTTTCATAAATACGTATCAGTTCACCGAAACTCATTTTATAGACGCAGCACTTCACCGACAAGCTTAATTCATTGCAAATTAGAGTGTTTACAGCTGTTTGCATAAATTCTGGGACACCTAAAAATTTCTCGTTATTTATTAATTTATTTTAACATTTGAATACATGCGTTTCCTAGCTAATTATATTTCAAGCTCTTATCGAATCATTGATTATTGTATTATGAGACTGCTTCGTTATCAGTGTGGGATTTCTAGTATGGTATATGTTGCTATTCGCCTTGTTATATAATTTGTAAGTTTTATCATAATAGTTTATAGTTTTGAAAAAAGTTAATTTATTAATAAAGGTCCAAAAATTTAATTCTAAATTTATATTATTATCATTCTAAAATAGTTTTTGTAAAAAAAAGTTCTATATATAGTATCTCGTTTTTTTTTTTTTGTAAAGAATAGATGATTTTTTTTAAGTCTCAATAAATAATAATTAATCCACCTTTTTTTCAATATTGTTATTAATCCAAAAATTATAAATACTTATTAATATATTGTTACAAAGAACAATTGTAGATATAACCAATATAAGCAATGGTATACAAGTATATATGATTACGCTTCTTGATAAATAATCTACAATATTAAAAATCAATATAAATACAAATATATACATTAAAAAATCAATATAAATACAAATATATACATTTAAAAATATTTTAAAGATTAAAATATGCACCTGAATAATAAGTTGTGGAATATCTTTGATAAACAAATGACATGCGGTACCATAAAGAATCCATTTTTTAAAAATTTCAGACACCAAAACAGAGAAGATATTAAGTCCGAAAAAATTTGAAAACAAACCATTTAAAGCCTCAATATTAGTACTAGATAATAATGTACAAAATGCAACAATTTTTACATTTTCAAAAAACCATTCACGAAAATCTATATTTCTTTGTATCTCCTTTGTAAGCATGGTAAATGATAAACTTAGATTGAAAAATATTGATGCTATTAATATTATTAAACTGTTTGTAAGATAGTTTTATAAAATGAAATAATAAGAATTGTCGCGGATGATCGTGAAATCGGATTATGCTGAAATTCATGTGATCACATGTGATCTCAGCTATTATATAGTAATTATATATATATATTATAACTAGAAATGGGTTTCATGCGCATTTTATCCCATCAAGATTTTATATAGAAAAATTAAAATATAAACTAGGCGCTTGAGTTGCTCAAAGGG